GCCCGACGCGCGTCGAGGAGTCTGAGAGAGTTGGAGGAGACCCAGTGATTTACAACTCCGCGGGTTAGGCCCCAACTGTGCAAACCGACTGAGCGCATTGCTTTTTGAACGGTTGTCCAGTGTTGATCTACGCTACTTGGTGAGGTAGTAATTACTCTTGCGGCCAACTGGTTTTGGTAATCGGCTAGTACGGCCGGGGCAGAGAGCTTGACGACGTCGAGCTGTTTGCATCGCCTCTTTTTGCGGCCACCAAAACGCATAGACAACTTGGCACAAACCAGTGCGTGGTCGGAGTCCAAGCAGGTAGACCAATACGAACGGCAATCTTTCACACATCCTCTCCATTTATAGCTAATAGCTATATGGTCAATCTGACTCCACGTCTGTACCGAAGAGGGGTTACGCCAGGTGGCGAGGTGACGTTTAGAATGTCTGAAGTTCGTGCTAACGAGGAACAGACCGTGTTTTGTGCATATGCTAAGAAGTCTATCCCCATTATCTGAACGACAGCTATCACGGCCATGACGGCCATCAAGGTGGGTTTCATCGGGTGACAGACGGCCAACGCGTGTATTTAGGTCTCCGGCCAGGATCACGATATCCGTCTTAGGTGCTCTGAGAAGAAGCTCATATAGGTTTTGATAGAAGGCGTCCTTGACTGTATCCGGGCTACCGTCTGTGGGAGCGTATGCAGAAACCACGAATCAACATCGTTCATTTGGTTTCCGCTTTTTGACTTTAATTGAGCCTCAGTCTCACTGTGCATAGTCGGCCATCTATCGGGATCCAATCCAATAGACCAGCCTCGGTCCTGGTGCTCAAGGCAATACCAATGCCTGCTTGTCCAGACGCTGAAGCGATAGGGTCCCCGAAGACGCGCAGTTGAAACGCTTCTTTTGGATTGGAAGGAGACGTTACTCGGATCACTGAGCTAGGATCCTGGATACGTATTTCCGAGAGGCAGCACACCTCAATCTCTAGACTTTCGAGCGTACCAGCCAAACCTGCTTCTTGTCCAAAACGCATTAGAGTTCTTATGTTAAATGAAGCCAGTTTGAACGCAGAGTAAGGTCGAAAGAATGGAACGGTCGGCCCCAAGATAGATATCAAGGAGGATAGCGGCGAGCTACAACATGAACCTACGTCAGTGGAACCGTTCAGGGTGGGACAAACAGTGGAAAAGATGGGGGTATTGTGTGAGGGGGTGGAAGTGTTGCGTGCAAATTGTAAAAGAAAGCGTTGCAGAAGTGCAATATTCTGTGACATATGTGTATAAGTATGCCCATAAGTCCGTGGTTAGTTAGTTAGTGACATTCCTACAACTTCGTAAACCCCTGTGGCTCCGCAGTGATATAAGCCTCCACACAAAACTGCGCTTTTACCGAGCCGCAGTTCGACCCATACATACGGTTGCGAAATGTAACCAGCAAGAGTGGATGCCCAACATATGGAAAGTTTGGACCACTGGTGTTTCCAATACACAACTAAAATCAAGTCGTATGGTCACGCTTCAAACTCTGTCGTTCATCACGATTACGAGATCATGGAGAAGCTTTCCTTGCTCCTCTGGTGACGCCGTTCGGTCATGTCCTCCGCCCGTTAGAAGCTGAATTCACAAGGAAGATGACATGGCCGAAGCATTATCTAAATTGTAAATGTCACCTCGGAGACCAGCTGAAGACGTGGATCGGTGCAATCAGATCGGTTAAAGACGCTCGGGTTCTCTCAACCGGATTTCTCGATGTGCGGACCCTGCCGCAAATTGCAACACACGAATAGTTGTCATCAGAGACATCCACACTAAGACTATTTATCCTCACGAAGGAGATAGTCCTATGAACGTAAAAAGCAGTACAACAAACAAGAAGGATTTGGGAATTATTATTCCAGAGGAAAAAAGACGTTCCACACACTGTGTTAGAACATCAACGGCTCTAAAGGGCGAATATTCAAACGCTTTTCGACAGTTTAAAATAGACCCATGCCCCGTTTGCCATCAGAAAACATTCGCCTACACGAAGAGTATGCCATCTAAGGCTGTCGTGAGAAAAAAGCGGTCGAACATCCATGGAAAATAGTAACCAAAATGGCCAAAGGATTCCATCAAAGACTCATTTGGGAAGTCTGCAAATCCAGCCCCCAAACTCACCCTGACTGAGAAAGTAGAAAAATTTTGCTATCTGAGCATCTATATCTCACCCGGTGTGCGTATCGCAGATGAAGTGTCGACACGCATACAGAAGGTTCGGTTGGCATTTGCCAACTTGAGAAATCTGTGGTGCCATCACGACATCCAGTTATCTGTGAAGAGTTGAATATATGCTGCAGCAGTTCGGCAAGTGCTGCTCTACAGTGCAGAGACTTGGTCATTACGGGAACAGGATTGTCGGTGTTCGAACACCGCTGTCTACGTCATATTGCACCAGTCTGGTGGGAAACCGGACAATGTTGAGCTCCGGCGCAGAGTTTTAGGTAATCGCGACGGTCCACTGGAACAAGTGATCGACCTCTATAGACTACGCTGGTTGGGACATGTGATATGCATGTCACCAAGTAGGTTGCCACGGCGAGCGACGTTCGCCAAGGAGGGCAGTGGGTGGAATGAAGCCAAGGGTGGTCAAGATGAGACCTGGCAGAAGGGTATGAAAATCCTAACCAGGAGACTCGATCAAATAGATCCTGTTAGATTCCCTGGGTGAAGACCCCGAGATCACGGTAACCGGTGGTTAGAGACATTGAGTGGTATGGTTGAGTGTCCAAAACAGTTGTGCTCGTGCATCCACTCCATATTCTCGCAATCCTAGTCTTTATGAATTCTCTATTTCCTATTTGATTCTGCTCTCAACATTTCAATTTTCAAGGTGCTCTTTCATTAAAATGCGCAACCAAAAGACACCAACCAAAACCGGCACACCAAAGTACATGGTTAATCGTTGTAAAAACTGAAGCTGATTTTTCCTTAGGTATTGCCTCTTTGTCCATTCGCACAAAGTAGCGTATGAACTTCGCTCGCGTTTACTGGTGCGGTTGCACGACTTTCAGAGTTCAAATTCAATTTTATTCACAATATTCAAAGCGTAAACTATGTATTCACTCAGAATGGGTGCATAACGCACAAATTGACTTCGATTTAAGTCTTCCTAATGCATTCAACAGCTACTGCCCGCTTCTGCTAGGCTGCCCGCAGACACAAAGGCGTTGTCTCGTTCATACTCCACCTACCCCATTGGGATCCGGGTTAAAAGTCGGTCCTAAATGGTCACTACAAACCAACGCACCAGCGAACAACGATCTGAAACGAAACCCGAAGTAACTGTGCAACAGATCTGTAAAAGCACTCACACGGGTTCCTTGGTCAAGGTCACGATTCTGTGAGGTAGACTTTAGAGTCGAAGTCCCCGGTCAGGGTTCTCAAAGAAAACCCCTAGTTGGAGGACTATTGCGAAGTATGTCGTGCCTTAAAGTCTCAGGCACCAATAAAAAACCTGTCTTTGTTTAACTGTTTATCTCACCATAACCCCTTGAAGTCTTACAACATTCCTCCCATCGCTCAAAGCGAAAGGCACAACCAAGGTCAACTCTTCTATATCCGTGGCTCAAACATCGGACTCACCAACACCCGTGACTAAACCTGCTAATTGAGTATTTCATTATTTTACTTGTACTAACATCTGCACCTATAATGTGAGAATCAACAAGCTTCATTTCTGTAATTTAACGGCAATGAAAAATCGAAGTGAAGCATTAATGACCATTGGACCTGGAGTGAAGGGTCATAAATTGTAAAATGCCTCACAGAAAAGTAATAGCTTTTTCCAGCACGAAAGAGGATTTGTCTAGAACCAAGGGAGGTAAACCCAAAACAGGGAAAAAATGATCCATTATGATATACTTTGATTAGTAGGCACCACCCTAACAATTACCAACCGGTGTGAATAGATACAAAAATTCTTCACCATTCTTTATTAGAAAAGCGCTGCTCACATAAATAGCACATCCACCGGCCACGGATTCCTTCTCATGAATCGACACTCCACATTTCAAACCAAAAACTTCTTCTGTCACACGCTTGATGGAAGGTAGACGGAACCCACTACCAACCATTTCAACTGCATCCAGCTGTTCTCTTCCCAGCCCAGACGAATTTAAACATCGCTGGAACAATTCGCGAAACCGTTCCAACAGATCTTTGCTGGATTCCTGCAAGCAATTGAACAAATTTCAATCTCATATTCGAGGGATGTGAAAAGTACAAACCTCAAAAGTAGCTTGTCGTACAACCGTGCTCAGTACATGTCCATCCGGCAGTCCATCAACATGCACTGACACATCGTTCGGACTCCAACACAATCGGGACTTCACCTCAGCGCATTGACTCCTCAGATGTACAGCCGTATAGGACTTCGGATCAACCTGCTGGATAATACAAGTCGTAAACTCGAGAAAACATTGATTTGCTCACATTAACCATATATTTCTCACAATATTCTGTCTTCAACTGATTGTAAATAATTTGATCAAAATGCCAACCGCCCAAATTCGAATCGGACTCAGTGCATACCAATTCTATCGTGCTATGAGTGAAAGCAAACACCGCAACCTGAGTGTGCATGTGTCCCACATTCACAAAGACCACACGACGAGTTAGTTCATTCGAAGTCGGGATTTGCGAGCTGAATAGATAGTACCACACGGCCACTACAACCGACAAGATTGAAGACAGGCGGTGAGAAAAATCAATACAGACATCACAACTAACCTGCAGTCGTCTCATTCACAAGAGCCTCGCATTGTATATTGGCAATTTCGCATGCGTCAAGCAGAGCACCACGTTGTTCAGCCGAATAGAACACAGGCACACTGAGAACAACTCTGTTCACATCACGGGAGCTGTATTCACTGGCTATTTTGCACAGATTCGATAAATGCATTGCTAGAAGTTGTTCCGGTTTGAACAAGTAGTCCTGACCAGAATGTTTCACCTTCAAAGTGGAAAATTTGTCAGCAACGATTCACAAGTAGATGGATGCATTTACCTTTATTTTCACCTTCCCCCTTTCGGATAGATCAAGATCATACGAACAACTATCACAAAATTCTCGCATTTGTTCGTCAACATCTCGACCAATAAACGCAGTGAAGTTATCGATTGTTTCTTTGATATTGACTTCCTTCTGATCCAGGGCATCGTCACCGTAAATTCTGAGGCCATCCTCAAAGCCGACACATGTTCTTTAAATTGGATGTCGTGATTCTGAATTACTGTTTGACTTACGGGGTCTGTTTGCTGCCGCGGTGATTTTCCACAAAATCGATAGTGCTCTTCCACGGTAAGGCAATACATGAATTTTGAGTCCCAATATCTATACCGATACAAATATCCATTTGTTTCGATTGCTTTTTACTTCCGTTCTTTAGTGTTATCGGAAATCTGAAAGATTGAAGAACATTGTCAACATACTTCACAAGCACTGAAAAGACCCCCCGGCTGGTGATGAAACGCTTGCAAACAAATTATCAAGCTCCGCGAACAGGAGGATTTGAATACTCCACTGTCGTATAGTATTGTCAACTTTAGAGGTAAGGGTCATCCGAATGCTTAAGAAGAAGTTTTGTTCCTAATAGCC